TGACGGCCGCAGAGTGGTGGCAGAGGTGCTGCTGTGGATGGAGCGTTCACGTCTTGTCTCGTCTACGATCTGTGGAGGTCCTCCTCTTTCCTTCTTTGCAATTTGACGAAGATAAGTCTTCGGTACCAATCCTGTTTCACCATTCTCGTTTTTTGCCGTCCACCAGCCATCTGCCCTGGAAAGTGGCTTGTTTCAAACTGCCGGTAGATGTGCAAATATGCAGTGGTGAGAATTTAGACCTAAAAGCGTCTTATGTTGCAGCTCACCGACTACATCATAAAATTCAAAAACCCTTCACATAAGAAAAGCAGAAAAAGCCGCGTAAGCACCTGGTTTGTATAATATCCAGCTTCTCTCCTTCAGATATACTGAGATCGCCCGCCTCTGTTGCTTTCAAACTAGCCAGAGCTACGAACATTGAGTCTTCGTGCTTGACCTGTTGCTGAGTTTCCACATTTGAAGGATTTGTATCCGCCTTAGTTTTGGCCTGCATAGAGGATGATATAGAAGAGATCAATCTTTCTTCCTTCCTTTGCTGAGGGTGTGGTGGAAGTTGGGATGTCTGAAGAGATTTCTCTCAAGTTGGTAGGTTCAAACTACTTCTCAGTCTGTAACTGTGATATAGTTCTGTCAATCATTCAAGCCAAATTAGGTAAAACTCATAAAAATCATAATAAAAATGATTGTTAACTAACCGTAAGAACATCTGAAGAGGCGATAAATTAGAGCTTAGGATTAACTATAACTAATTGCTAGCTTAGGGTTAGAAGTGTTAATACATCTGACCTTAGCAAGATTAAATCCGGGTCAGCCCTATACGTGCTACGCACGACAAATCTAACCTCTAAAGCTTTACCGAGAAAGATTTAATGGGTCATTTTATAATTTGTTGCGTTGTGTGATAATTTGACTTGATATGTTATGCATACAACGACCTATACCCGCGGCGTCAAATCCCGCGCTTTTTGTAACTCGGAGCCAGCTCCAATAGACTAATGGAATGAAAGATAGCTCCGAACTGCGATAATAAGGTGAGATAGTGCTGTAAGAAACAGAGACACAAATATACGCTTATTTCAGGAACTTCTTCAAAGAACACTGCTCTATGTCTCCATTCCTTGCCACTCTCCCGCCTTATCTTTGGAACTCGCAATTTAGTCGCAGTTTTATTGCCAGCTGAATTAGAAGTTAATAACGAACAACACAGATTTTGCTCAAAAATGACGTATTTCTTGGGGTTTTAAGATTTATGGAACTCATTCTTTGCAAACGTATAAGCCCTATCAGTACATCCTCCTACATTAGATTTTTAGATGCTTCTGCTTTACTGCATGACACATGC